CCTCTCCTGCCTTGAGTTTCTGCCAAACACTATTGAGCTGCATGAAAGAACCTTAAATGCATATTACTAACTGAAAGAAAGGAATCTGAAAAGCTGCATACTGTAAGATTCCCACTCTGTCACATTCTGGAAAAGCCAAAACCATGGAGACAGTAAAAAGAGCAGTGGTTGGCAGGGGTTGGGGAGAGCGGGATGAACAGGCAGAGCACAGGGGATTTGCAGGACTGTGAAACTGCTCTGTATGATATGACAATGGTGGAACAGCATTAGACGTCTGTTCAAACTCTCAGAATGTACTGAGGACTAAAACTGACATTTTTTCTCTCTTGCCCAAATTCCCATCTAAGGGGTCTAGGGAGCCATACCCTGTAACCATAACATCTCAACAGTTGACTTTATTTAACCTTATATATAAACAAGCTTACTTCCCCACCTGATTCTTGTATAACATCTGACGACAGGATAAAGAAGGAAATAAAAATATTTACCCAAAAAATAGGATTTTTTTTGCATATTTTTGAAATGGCTCTGCAAAGCCTGTCCTTATAGGGAAAATTTGCATCTGTAAAGAATCTCTATTACCATAGCTAACTCTTTCCCTTCCCAGGCCCTCCCAAGCCTCTCGAGATTTGCTGAAGTCTAGCAACTTGTAAGAGTCTAAATAGGAAATATTTGCCATCTATTGTCTCTAAGGGCAACCCCCATGAGGCTCATCTACATGGTAAAGAACCTTGGTCTCCACAATCCCCTTATCTTGACCCAGATAGTCCCTTTCTATTGATTGCAGGTTTTTAGATAATAACTGTTCAATCAACTGACAATCAGAAAATCTTTGAATCCACCTATGACCTGGAAGCCTTCCTCCCACCAACCGCCTTCGAGCTGTCCCCACCTTTCTGGACTGAATCAATGTACGTCTCACATGTACTGATTAATGTCTCATGTCTCCTTAAGATGTGTAAAACCAAACTGCAACCCAACACTTGGGCACGTGTTCTCAGGGCCTCTTGAGACTGTACCTTGGGTCACTCATATTTGGCTCAGAAATAAACTCCTTCAAATATTTTACAGAGTTTGGCTCTTTTCACTGACAATACAACACCAAGAGTGACCCTAATGTGAACCACAGACTTGGGGTGATCACGATATGTTGGTGTGGTTTAGCAGTAGTAACAAAATGTGCCCCCACTGATGCGGACATGGACAGTAGGGCAGGGCGTGTGTGTGTTGTTGCCGGGTGGGGGGTGAGGGGTGCATATGAGAGCTCCTCGCAGCTTCAGCTCAGTTTTGCTGTATAGGTGTAGAAAAAATCTTTCCTCCATCCATCCTAGGGTTTATTGCTTTGGCCCCACAAATGTAAACCAATGAAGCCAGGTTAATAAGAGAAAACAACACATTATTTAATCCTGGTATCACAAATACCACATGGGAGACCTCAGTGATAAGTAATAACTCAAAAAGGCTGGTTAGAACTTGGCCTTATTAGCACCGTAATGAAGAGCAATATATTTGTAGAGAAGTGGAAAGGATAAAGGAGGGGGACCTTGAGCTTCTTTGAATAACAAGTTCGGTTGATAGGTAGATATTATGGGGGAGGCTACCTGAGTCTGCTTTCCTGAAATGTTCCCCTGCCTTTAAAATCCCTTGCTTGTAAACCATCCAGGAGATTGGGTCTGAAGTGCAAGCTGCCCCATTCTCCTTGCTTGGTGTCCTGCAAGTGAACACCCTCCTTTCTCCTGCTGCAATCCTCAGTGTGGGTGTTTGGTTTTACTGCACGGGGCAAGCTGACCCAGGTTGAGTTCAGTAACAAGACCAGACTGGAATGGAGTTCCTTGCGCTACAGTTCCATCTTTCCAAACCAAAACTAAGTTGTTGATCTGACCTTCTGAGAAGTCAGGACACAGAGGGATAAAACGCAAATCCCCAACAGGCCAGGTTTAGCCAGCATGATAAGCAGTCCCTCCCATCTGCTCTAATGTTTACAAGGAAAGTAACTTTGCAACCAATCCGTGTTTTGTTCTCTGTTTCTGCTTCAGCCTTTTCTATCCATGAAGCCCATCTCCCCCACTCTGCTGGGAGGAACGCTCAGTCTGTTTATGGAATGAAGTGTTGCCTGATTCTAGAATAGGAAATAAAGTCAATTAGGATATTTAAACTAAATCTGTTGTGCTTTTGTCTTTTGACAGTTCCATGATGGAAAATCTAATGGCCACTTTCCATTTACCACGTCCAAGGAGCAGTCCAGGTAAGTGGCTCCCTTTTGTTTCCATCTTGCTCCTGGCTTCTGACGCTGATGCTTCTCCTTCTGGAACGTCCTGCATTTCTGGATGCTCCTCCCCAATTTTTGCCAGTGCGCTCACAACCCCTGCTTGGGATTTAAAATCCAAAGTGCGTCATAACTCACCCCTGGACTCTGTTATTCTTTTATTGGTATGCTCGAAAAAAAGAACCTCAAGCCCTCCAGGTGACCAAATTGATTTTTAATGCATTAATTATTAACTCGATTCTTACAACCTCCAGATTTTATCTCCACTCAGAATTATATGTACAGCTGCCTAGCTGATTTCCAGATTGAAATGCCTCTTTGACATTACATATTAAAACTGATCCCGCTCTATAGTCTAGGTCACCTTCCTTGACTTGGCTGTGACCCAGACTTACTGTCTAAATAAATGGTGTGACGGCTCACCTAGGGACCCCATTCCAGACTCTAGAAGAGTTTCTTCAGCCTGTATCCCCCCAAGTCATAAACAGTCCATTACTGAGTCCTATTCATTCTTCCTATATATCTCTCCAAAGCCTTCCCTCCATTTCCACAATGATCCCAAGTGTTTCACCATTTGCTCCTCGAAGAACATCTGGATTTGTTTCTGGCTTTTGGCTATGAGGAATAAGCCTGCTGAGAATATTCAGCTCCAGGATTTTGTGTGAATGTAAGTGCTTTAGGGGTGGGGCGGGACCCTGCAGGCCATCCCTCGGTTGGATGATTCTCTGGAGGGACCCAGAGAACTCCACCAAGCTGACCTAAGCCCCTGAAAGTCAAACAGATACCATATGGCCCAATGCCTGCAGCACAGCTCACTTGATGGAATAAACTGCCCAAGAAAAATGGGGGTAAGTGATTACATTATCAGAGGCATCCCAGGTGAATCCTGGAGACGTGGACGGTACCTGTAGTCATGAAGCTGACAGCTGGAAGAAGCCTGTCTGGTTCAACCCCTGTCTGGCATTTCCTTCCTTCTCCATCCTCACTTTCTACCCCTCACAGGGACAGATAATTTATAGCTTACCGAGCCAGGCCACTGCACTTTTGGACAACTCTACCAAATGGATTTTCTTCATGCCATTACATAACTGCTACCTGCCACCAGAGCCTTAGAAATGTATGGTTTTCCATCAAGCACTCATGGAACACGTCACTGTGGGCACTTCTAGGGGGGTTCATGATGGATCCTCCAAGATCAACTAAAAATTAAAACAAGCCCCAGGTAACAGAACCACTTCAAGTGTTAAATAAAATCATCTGTGTTTACCTAGTTAAATTATGAGGAACATCTCTCCAATGTGTTGTGTGTGTGGTGTGTGTGTTGTATAATTATTATTATTATTATTATTTTGAGACAGGGTCCACTCTGTCACCCAGCCTGGAGTGCAGTGGTGGGCCATCACAGCTCACTGCAACCCCTCACCCTCCCAGGCTCCAGCAATCCTCCCACCTCCAGCTCCTGAGTAGCTGGGACTATAGATGATGCACTATGGCCGGCTATTTTTTAAAAACTTTTTGCAGAGGCAGGGTTTCACCATGTCCCAGGCTGGTCTCCAACTCCAGGGCTCAAGCAATTTGCCTGCCTTGGCCTCCCAAGGTATTGAAATTACAGCATGAGCCACTGTGCCTCCAACATAATAATTTTTTGTTTAAAGAATGGTTGGTATTTGTGGGCCGGGTATCGTGGCTCATATCTGTAATCCCTGCACTTTGGGAGGCAAAGGCAGGTGGATCACTTCAGGTCAGGAGTTCAAGACCAGCCTGGCCAACATGGTGAAACCCTGTCTCTACTGAAAGTACAAAAATTAGCCAGGCGTGGCGTGCACGTGTAGTCCCAGCTAATCCGGAGGCTGAGGCAAGCAGATTGCTTGAACCCTGGAGTCAGCAGTTGCAGTGAGTGGAGATCGAGCCACTGTACTCCAGCCTGGGTGACAGAGCAAGACTCTGTCAAAAAAAATAGTTGCTATTTTAGCCTTTCTTTCTGAAATCATTGATAGTGGCCTAATTCGTCTGTTGAGGTTTTATATGAAAACAAAACCTTATATCATTGTGTGGAGAACGGTACTGACCTTCTTTGTGGTGGGGTGAATACGGCTTCAGCACACCCAGCAGCTGTTTTGTGTTCTCAAGAAGGGAGGCCCAAAGTATTCCAATCGTAATAGGTCTCTCAGAAACCCAGCCCAGCTACTCCCCTCCTTCAGGGGAGTTTGTGACCTTGCTACTCACAGCGTGGTCTATGGACCAGCAGCACTGGGGTTACCTGAAGCTTGTGTGAAATGCGGCATCCCAGGCCTGCTGCACCACGTGCATCAAAAGCACATGTGTTCTTCCTATTGCTGAGAGGGAGGAGGGACGGCAGCACAGGAGCAAAGCCAGCACTGTGGTTGCCGTTAGGGGAAGTGCCAGAGCACCCAGTCCCGAGCCCCACCATCGCCACCCCTTTTCCTTAATTACAGAATTCACTTGAAATTAAAAATCCCCGCTTCCTAAATACCCACCCTCTCCTCTGGCTTTCTTTTTAGCTGAGTCGACTGCTCTTGTCTCTTCTTTCACCCATTCCTGGCAGCACAGCAATCCCTGCAAGTTACTCGGACCCTCAGGACTCCTCATTCGAGTGCAGTGGAGGACCAAGCAGATGGCAGGGAAAACCAAAGAAAGCTCAGGTGGCCTATCGTGGCTGTCATGGTGGAAGAGTGTCTCTATTTAACACTGAGCCTTAGTAATGACATGCTCTCCCCTTGTCCTGGACCTTCATTTTAAAATAGAGCATTCAGGTGGGAGGGGAACCACAGGGGCACTTCAATCCTGAGGGTGCTCTGGGCAGTGGCTCTAGCCTTTGGGATTTTGTCCTCATGTACTTTTTTTTTGAGATGGAATCTTGCTGTGTCACCTAGGCTGGAGGGCAGTGGCTTAATCTTGGCTCACTGCAACCTTCGTCTCCTGGGTTCAAGCAATTCTCCTGCCTCAGCCTCCTGAGTAGCTGGGATTACAGGTGCGCACCACCATGCCCAGCTAATTTTTGTATTTTTAGTAGAGATGGGGTTTTGGCATGTTGGCCAGGCTGACCTCAAACTCTTGACCTCAAATGATCCACCCACCTCGGCCTCCCAAAGTGTTGGGATTACAGGTGTGAGCCACCCTGCCTAACCTGTCCTCATTTACTTAAAGAGCAGTTACTCACCCCCAATTCCCCACAGATAGTGGCCAACTTCTTTGAAATCCAGAGACATTTTCTAATGCTCAACCCTTTTTTCATCAATTCTATCTGTTTCTAAAATAAGTGTCACTCAGGATGGATATGCTTTTAGAGGAACACTGTGATAAAGACCCTTTGCTCCAGAGGAAGGACCTGCAGTGGCCCCAGGCTGTGGCTCTAGCATCACATGAGACAGTGTGAACATTTGGACACAATTAAAAAGAGGACACTTAATTAAAGAGGACACTTCCAAAGGAAAGGGGCAGGAAAGCCGGGAGGCAGGAGGTCTGGGACCCCACGTGGGACAGGCAGCTGAGTGTTGTTGGTACCACCTTCCTGCCATGGCTTTCCTACACCACAGAGACAAAGCCCATGCTACTCTCTGCTGCAACGCTCTGGATGGAAGGCCCAGTTCCACAGGAAGGAAATCCTGGTGGCCGAGGCATGGCTGTGCACAGCCTGGATGGCTCAGCCTGTGGCTGGCAGGCACCCAGGGCCCATGTTGGGGGTCTTGCCCACTCAGGACGGCCTCAGCTCCCAGGTTGCAGCCACCACTGCCATTTCAAAGGTGAGAAGGAATGGTGTGTGGACCTCTCACCCTGCATAGTGAGGGAGGCAGGAGCTGGGTGGTGCAGGGAATTAGGAAAGGCAAATCTGGGACCTGCTGTGCCCTGCAGTGCAGTTTCCAGAGGGGAGCAGCCCAGGGTGGCAGACGTCTGCATTTGTATGTTAGAAATGCTCTTCCAGGCCAGGCACGGTGGCTCATGCCTGTAATCCCAGCACTTTGGGAGGCCGAAGTGGGCAGATCACGAGGTCAGGAGATCAAGACAATCCTGGCTAACACGGTGAAACCCTCTCTCTACTTAACATACAAAAAATTAGCTGGGCGTGGTGGCGGGTGCCTGTAGTCCCAGCTACTCTGGAGGCTGAGGCAGGAGAATGGCATGAATCCAGGAGATGGAGCTTGCAGTGAGCCGAGATTGTGCCACTCTGCACTCCAGCCTGTGAAACAGAGTGAGGACTTCCATTCTCAAAAAAAAAAAAAAAAAAGAAATGCTCTTCCTGACTTTTCAGAGCTGACTGAAGACCCCGGTTCTTGGTCTGTGTCTTTTCCTTGCCTTGGGGTCCACATTAACCAACTATATTCAATCAACAAGCTTAACATTGAGAATCAAGAGAAGCCCAGGACCTGGGGAGCCTGGGACCCCCTTCAGCATCCACTGTGCTTGGGATGGAGCTCCCGACCCCGCTTCAAGTCACCTCTTGTTCTCCTGCCCCAAAGGAGCTGGCACACCAAGCGATGCTTCCATTTGTCCACTGCGTTTATGGGAAGGGACAGTGGTCTCTCCTTGGTGCCAGTGTTAGAAGGAAGAATTGGTGCTCACTGGGTCCTGCTGTGTGTGGGAGTCTCCTCCGCACCCCGTCCTATCTTGTCAATCATCACCACTTGGTTGAGCATTTCCAGACTTTGTTTCCAGGCTTTGTTTCCTGGCCCTTGACAATAAACAGAACAGTCTCCCTGAGCCTTTCACACCACATAGACCCCTCAGGATGAATTGCTCGAGCAGCTCCTGCTGATGCTGGGCCTTGGGAAGAGGGGGCCAGCGGGGAGGGACCACCCCTGAGCTGAGAGGCAAGTCCAAGCCCCAGAGATTTAGGGGTCAGCAGGGGAGAGAGCAGGGCTGAAGGCATAGAGGGGGCACCCTGCACTTTATGCCAGGGGCACTGCAACAACAAAGGTGCCAGGTATGTGGACACACACCTAGAGGAAGAGTGCTGTGCACCCTCAAAGCCTGGTCTGAGGATCAGCAAACCAGCCTCTCTGGGAAGCTTGTTGGAAAGGCCAACTCTCAAGCCCCTCCCCACCCCTGGTGCACCAGAACCCTCAGTCTGAACTAGCCCTGGGTGACTCCCCTGCTCCCGATGTCTGGACGGGCTGCCTGCAGCACTGGCTCTCAATCTGCCTGATCGTCAGCACCACCTGGAGAGCCGGAGAAGTTCTGAAAAGACAGATCTCTGGGCGCTTCCATCCCTGGGATTGTGACTCAGTAAATAAGGGATGAGGCACAATAATTTGTATCTATGTTTTTAAAGCTCCCCCAGTGTTCTGGATGTTTAGCCAGCCTGGGGACCCTCTCTCTGCTCTTCAGGTATCTTACAAGTAAGAAAGATGTCATTATAAGCTTTTATCCTTGGAAACACATTCATTCTAAACATATAGAGTGAACTTACTAGGCCGTGTGTGGTGGCTTATGCCTGTAATCCCAGAGCTTTGGGAGGTCAAGGTGGGTGGATCACTTGAGCCCAGGAGTTTGAGACCAGCCTTGACCTCCTTGACTTCTGGGGAGTTGATGAGGGACCTGGACACTGTCATAGTGGTTTTTTCTTTCCCTTTGTGTACAGTTCTGAGCTCGTTAATTATGTATCAGGGTTTGGAATAGGCTCATATAAATATTTCAGGTCCTAAAATAGCTGTGACAGTGTCACTGATCTGCCCCTGAGCTGAACAACCATCCATCGTCCCCCGCTGCCATTTTAATCCTCCAGTCACGTGAGGGAGGATGGGAGTCTGTGTGAACGTCTTTCTCACTCGTGTTCAAAGATCATATCTGCCTGTCTCATCTGTCAAGAGTGTAGATTTTGTTGTGATGGTGGATTCAAAATAGAGGAAACCTGTGGTCATTGTACTTGGCAAACAGCTTTTCATGTCAGGATGTTTCCGCCTCTGGCTCAGGGCTGGTCCAACTGTGTGACGAATGCGGTTCAGTGCAAGTGCCCAGTCTGCCGCCCTCAGCCCCGCAGCTGCAGTGTTAGAATAGCCGTGCCATGGGCACACAGCGTTGGTGACATGGGAAATGTGGAATAACAAATAACTTAATTCACATGTGCTTATAGAAAAAACTTTATACAATAAAAACAGCCAATTGTTAGATTTATATCTTTTTCTGTCACTATATTTAAAAGGAATCAAGAATTTTCATGCAGCTTCCAGGTATTCTTGAGACTGGTTATTGTTTCTTTTTGAAAAGTTCATTATTGCATAACAACACCTAGATAAAT